ATTTCAAAACGATCCATAAAAATGGTCAAAATACGGTGTTATCAACTCCTCCAGACTTAAACCTTTGTTTGTCCTCAAACAAAGCAAAAGAACTGGTTAAGTGAAAACAAAAATAGGGAATGCACAAATCTCAGAGACATGAACTCCTAAACTAGGACCAAAGATCGTGCATCAATCCACAACTTATTCTAGAAAATTCTCACCAAGACACAAAAGATACTAGTCCACTTTTTCCGTCATGCAAAACTTAAATAATCTAAATCTTGATTCCAGTCAACTAGCTTTCTACATTCATTAAGTGCAATAGTTAATTCTCATTATAGACATCATCCAGGGTAGACGCCGTTTGGCATTAAAGGGCTGTTTAAGTGGTGGAGTTAAATTGTTCCGGGTTACCTGATGAATCTGGAGGATGCAAAATAATATGCAAAACCGCAAGAGAGATAAGGACCTGTTGATGACCGCAATTTTCAGTCACTTCTTCTTGTCCAATGTTGTTGTATAATCCTTCTTCCCTTGTTGTGAACAACTATTCCCCCAGACTTAGATTCTTTCCGGGAATCAGAAAATGATCTCCAAAACTCAATAAAATCGAACTCCAGTTGCCTTTGGACTTAAAATTCGAACTCTCATACGGATTTTTTTCTTTTTTTGGGAAAGGGGATGCCTTTTAAAGAGAGAGACTAGAGGACGAGATTGTACCAAAAGTTGAGATTTTTTCTATGGCAAACTGAGCTTTCTCTTGTGTTGAATCCTTCTGGGAATTTTCCGGCAAATCGCAGGTCTCTGTCTTTGGTGACTGAAAACTGCGTCGTTCCTCTTTCTCTCCAACGTTTTTACACATATCTGCATATAAGACAATAGAAAACAAGAGTGCATGTGGTTTGAAAGAGGATTGGTTAAGGTGGGGAACTAGCTAAAGATGATCTAGCCATTCAGGATCAACATGGAGTGGTAAAAAGGATAAAAGGAATCCTGAATGTATGATTCGTTTCCCTGGTCTAATGTTTCAATGAGAGAATTAAGTCCAAATTGAGTCCAAATAAAACAGAGCTAGTGTATTCCTTCATCTAAATCGAAATCCTTCATACTCATCTAGGGTACTTTGTTTCAAATGTGCTTAGCTACCGCCTAGTCTAGTCCTAAATCATGAATGAGCATGTCACTAGGAACAGTCTAAAAGCACACAGTCAACTATTATTGATTCATGTTCACCATTCCCTTTTAAAACCAATTTTGAAAAACTTTAAGGAAAATCCAAAAAGTGTAGATAATGCAAGACTCATGAAAGAAAAGTGGTTAGAAAGGGATGAAATCCTCCCCCAGACTTAAATCACATTTTCCTCAGTGTGAAACAAGTCGAGATTGGATGAGAAAAATGCATAGATAATCGAATTGGTAAGGCCAAAAAGAACTTACCTGGATCCGGGATGCTGGTGGAGATAGACCGGATTCATTCGAAGAGGTTTGCGAAAGTGATAGGTGGTGATGAAGGTGGTGGGGAGTGATGAATGAGGTGGATTTGGGGCTTGGTGAGGTGGAATGAGGTGAAGTGGGTGATTTGGGGTCGGGTATCATCTCAACGACCATTTGCCGTGGTCAGGAGTCACGCGACCGCGGTGAAGTGGTGCTCGGCCGCGGTCAAAGAGACGTGACCGCGGACGAAGAGGTGTTTCACGCGGTCAGAACACCTGCGACCGCGGGAGCTTAATATGCGGCTTGTTCGTGCTTCTCCTTAGTTTCTGCTGGGCCGAGCAGTCAGGGACCATCCTTCTTTTTGATTTTTTCGGTTTTTTTTATTTTTTTAGCTTTTTTGTTTTATAAAAAACAACTGAAACTAAGAAAAAGAAAAAGATCAATAGAAAAAGAAAGAAAAATCCTAAAGAAAACAATAGCTAAATGGGTTGCCTCCCATTAAGCGCTTAGGTTTAAAGTCATTTAGCTCAACTTTGGTGTAGGACGTGGCTTAGTCCAATGAAGAAGATCTTGTCCTGAGACAAGTCTTTTTCGACATCTCCTTACTTTGCCTAGCAGGTTCTTCGTCACTCCCAAGTTCTTCTTCAAACTCTTCTGTTGCAGAACGTTTTCCTGCTTTGCTGTTGTATGGGGCAGCTTCTGTGAAAACATTTTTGTCGATATTAGCAAACGAAATCCTCCGGTTTGGCCAGTCCATTATAGCTCCGAAAATTATTAGAAAAGACTATCCGAGAATTACTGGATGTGTTGCGTCTCTTGTTTCGACAATGTAGAAGTCGACAGGTACGATGCAATCTCCTATTCTCAAAGGAATGTCATGAGCTATTCCTTGAAGTGTTGCATTAGAATCATCAGCTAGACTAATCTTTGCTCTAGTCCTGCGCAGGTGCTTAATACTGATCTGCTCAAAGTTTAATCCCTAAGCTACTCTGCAAGAGCACAGATGTGCAGTTGTAGTATCTAGGGGTCGAACCCCAGAGACAAGAGATCACTCAATAAACCTTGTTTAGATGGAGTTACGCTAAGCCGAAGTATGCGAAACAAATAGCAATGCGAAAGAAATAAATAAAGCAGCAAAGAAAACGGTTTGTAAATTCGATGTGACAAAGGATAGGTCTAGGGTGATTTTCAGGAGATCGATGAATGCAGATCGACTTAACTAATCAGGGTTCAGTTATTAAGCACGGTTCTTGAACTCGAAACACAGAACTATAATTAACCAACTTCCGTTGTGAGAATTATCTAAGTTAAAATCCTAGAATTCCAAATTCCTTTGCAAATCCTATGGATTTAAACCAGCCTTAATGCACAAGTTCGATATGTTCACAAAGTATCTAAACCAAATTCCTTTGCGAATAGTTACTTTGCTCAACCTAGGTTCTTTCCAGTTATTCAATTACACTTCCGTGTCAATTAAGCAACCTAAGATCTAAGTTCTAGGTGATCAGTCCAGAATTAGCTTTAAGAACAACCTAAGATGGAGAACTAATAGATATGAACCCTAACTAGCAAGTTAATCAAACATTCAAAGAAAACCCTAATTAACCCTAAACCTAACAGGTGATCTACTCAGACATGGTCATTGAAACAACAAACATGATGAATAGAAAGCAATAGATTAAATCGAAATAGATAAAGGGGTTCGAAATCTTCTCTCTAAACGAACAGAGTTCAGACTTGTCTCCCCAAGCTCAGAAATCGCAAAAGCCGAAAAGCTGAAGGTATCTCTCTCTCAAAAATCTAAGGTAATTGTAAAAAGGGAATAAAAATCCTATATATATCTCTAAGACACGTTTTGGGCTTCCTTGGAAACGTTTAGGCCCAACTCCTTCTTCAAATAGGAAACAAAAATCGCCTTTTCCTTATTTCTCTAACAAGTGTCGAGCGTCACTCTCCATGGTGTCGAGCGACACAAAAGCACAAAATCCATACTTGACGAATTTGATCCTGATTAAGCTCCAAAGTGCTCCAAAGTCTCCAGTTAAGCTCCAAACGTACCTATGACCTGAAAAGACTCCAAAAGACTCGAAAGACACTAAAAAGACTCTATAAATAAGACTTATACCATGGTTAAAAACCATAAAAACCATGATATATCAACTCCCCCAGACTTAGCATTTGCTTGCTCTCAAGCAAACAGAACACCAAATAAGAGAAAGAGGTTTGAAAACACGGAGACTCAACCTTTCTTTGGAACATCGCTTTGACCGATCATCCTGCAACTCAACTAGTGCTTCATCATTCCAAATCAAACCACCATGTACTTCTCCGCAGACATTCACAGCTTTCCAGATTAAATCCAAAATTTCACAACATTGTCCATAAACCCTCATCGCTGGATCTCACTGATGATTCAGATGCCAAGAACCTTCGAGATTATTTTCCGTACTATACTCAAACAAATCAGCCATACACACTTTGACACTTTTTCTCTCCCCCAGACTTATTCTTTTCGCACATTCATCATCTTTTTCTTTTCTCCTTTTTATGGCATATACTCGATAAGGTTAAAGGTGCGAGTACTGATGGTGTTTGCCATCAAGTCCCCGAGTTGTCCCCTTACTTTGTATCAAAGGTTTTCAGCGAATAGTGGGGTCATAGGAAACTTTCCTACCCCTCACTTCCTTCCTTTGTGTGATCATTCCAACTTAGAAGTGAAATAATGGGATCATTGGAAACATTCCTAGCCCTTCACTCCTAAGCGAAAATCATCTCAATCTTTTCGCCCTTTTTTCCTTTCTTTTTCTTCTTCTTAGCTCGTTACAGGGAGAGAAACACCAACATTAAATTTCACACAGGCTTTCATTGATCAAGTACGAACGAGGAATCAAGCTCTAAGGCATTTGTCACATCAACGAGTTAAAAGTGAAGTTCAGAACTTAGCTCAGGTTAGTGGATTCTGTTGGAAACATGGACGCCTCTAGTCAGCTGGTCAGCCTTTGGATTTTTCATTAGTCGGATCTAGACTGAATCTGCAGCAGTGGTTACTTAGATGAAAGGTCAGCGCAATAATTCCAGGAAAAGCATCATAATCTCCAACAGGTTTTGACTCAAAAACGTTTTGACACAACTGACTCTTAAGAAAAACAGACACAATGTCAGCAACTACGTCCCCCAGACTTGAATAACACTGTCCCCAGTGTTATCTAGTCCGAAGTTGGCGAAACAAAAGAAAATAAACAGAGAAACACAGGAAAAACGGAGAACTTACCTGGCTGCAATGATGGTGTCGCGCGACACTTATGATGGTGTCGTTCGACACTTGTTATCTTCGTACCAAATTGCAGCAGACCAATCCGAATTTCTGGTTTGACTCCGGTTTCCTGATTTCCTAATTTTTTTTTTTTTTTGAACAAGTGACAGGCGACACCGAGTATGGTGTCGCTCGACACCAGCCCTGTTTCACCTAAAACACGAAAAGAAAAACGAAAATTACTGAAACAAAAGACTTATTTACAGACTCACCAGTGGATTGCCTTCTACTAAGCGCTTGTTTAAAGTCATTAGCTTGACTTGATGGTGATTCAGGCAGGAGGTGCACCATCCAGAGGCACGATATGTCCATCCGGAATCTCAGCTTTGGCCCAGTAGTGCTTCACCCTTTGTCCATTCACTGTGAACTCTCTGCTACCATCTGGTGTGAGGAGGACGATGGCACCATAGGGGCGAACCTTTTTGACTATGAAAGGACCTGACCATCGAGAACGAAGTTTACCAGGAAACAATTGCAAACGAGAGTTATACAGAAGTACATGATCATTAGGTTCGAATTGCCTGGAGAGGATTTTCGAATCGTGATACACCTTGGTCCTCTCTTTGTACAGCTTCGAATTCTCCAACTCGAAAAACCTGCAGTTCTTCGTCAAATCTGCCCTGGAATTTCGTTTCCACATAGTATACATTCTCTTCTGGCAGAAAATCATCTATGGGTACGTCCTCTTCAACCCTGATGCGTGAGAGATGATCTGCAACACCATTCTCAACACCCTTCTTGTCTTTAACCTCAATATCGAACTCCTGAAGAAGTAACACCCATCACAGTAATCTTGGCTTTGCATCCTTTTCAGGGAAATTTTCTCTATGAACGATTCAAAATATTGCTAGAGAGTAAATTTGATAAGATCTTAGCTTAAATTTTTCGAACTGGAGTCACAGACGTATGAATATGCCACTGTCGTGATCATAGACAACTATCTCTCTCAACCCTGACCAGTAGGTTTCCACTCTGGCCCTGGAAGAGAAGAGATACATTATGTTTAAGACTCGTCAGAATTCACAAATCGCCCATAGGTAGGTTTCCACTCCTCTGTTTGTTTTGCTCTCCCAAACTAGATCTGACACCGGATGAACAGTTTCGTGTCACCAAGCATCTGGATCAGATTGTAGTTCATGACGCTACTCTCATGCAGTAAAAATAAATTCAGAAGAAAAAGTTCTAAGATTCGGCTTCAATAGCTCATGGAATCCTCGTCGAACATATGTATCCCAGTCGAAAATCCCTTAGACCCAACAATAAAACTACTGAGACATGATGAACGAAATCAAAAACATAGTATTAAAAAGTAGATTAGAAACCGAAATTGAAAAAGAAAGAACAAAGGTTCAAGAGATAGATCTCTCTCTCCCTAAAACCTAAAAACAAAAGGTTAAAGTAAAATTCTTCTAAAGTATTTCGTCTCTCTTCTTCTCTCTTTAAAAACGACCTAAATGATATGTATTTATAGTCTCCAATGCTCTCTGGTGTCTAGGGTTCCGGAATTGAGGCTGGGAGAATGATATGGGCTTCAGAAATGAGCCTTCGAACTCGGAGTTGGCTGGCCGCGGTTGGGATGTGTGTGACCGCGGGAAATGGATGGCTGGCCGCGGTCAGGAAGCCTCTGACCGTGGTGAAATGGCTGTTGGCCGCGGGTGGAAATACTTGATGGCTGGTTTACAGGACATCTTGCTCTTCGCGTATCTTTTGATTGAACCGTTGGATTGCCAAGCTGTAAAGTGTGCTAGAAAGCTGATACTTCCATCTTTGAGATCTTTAAATTTGAGCTGGATCAGACGGTGAAAAGGCCTTCAATCGGGGGTGAACTTCTGACGGTTTGACTCTGAGCTAAAAATTATGTCTTCTATCCATTTTGTTAAGCTTTTCCCTAAGTTTCCTGAAAAGAGTCTTGGAACTACAAATACTAGAAAAACGTAATAAAAGTACTTAAAAGCAATAAAAAACATATTAAATTATTTCAAAACGATCCATAAAAATGGTCAAAATACGGTGTTATCACTCACCTCTAATGATAATCTGGGATCGTTGATTTCTCTGCCTCTACTCAGATGACCTAATTACAACGAATGGGCTGCAAACCTGTGCATGTCTCTGATGGCGAGAAAGAAGTTTGGCTTTTGTGGATGGCTATATTCCACAACCTGCGTTTGGTTCTCCTGATTTGGAGGATTGGTGGACCAATAACGCTTTAGTTATGTCATGGATCAAGTTGACCATGACAGAGACAGTTAGGTCAAACCTATCTAATCTTGATATTGTGAAAGATTATTGGGAACATATCTGACGCCATTACTCCGTGAAGAACAGACAGCGTGTTCAACGCATCAAAACTAAACTCGCAACTTGCTGGCAACACAGTCTCTCCATTGAGACTTATTATGGGAAATCAATGCAGCTTTGGACTTCTTAAGCAGAGTACCGACGAATCCAAAAGTTTTGGCTGTCTCGAGAGTGCTCTTCTTGAGCAAGAGCGTGAAGAAGATCGCTTACTGAAGTGGCTGAACAGTTGGACGAGCTTTACTCTTTATTGTGCAAGTCATTATATGGTTTGAAGCAGGCTCCGCGATGTTGGTGTGAGAAACTTGCTACAACATTACGTGATTATGGGATTATTCAATCTATACCCGATCTCTTTATTCAACTTGGATACTTAATGTACAATTGAGAAAATATAGATAGTTGAGCTCTGAATTAGTTATTTAGCTAGGAAAGTCACAGACGTGTCAAAAATGCGTCTTCTTACACATGTTCACCCTGTAATTTGCGTCTACTTACACAAAAAAAAACTGTTCACTATTATATCTTCATTTTTTGAAGCAGCATTTGATTTCTTCAATAAGAAGATGGACCATAGCGTTGACGACCTCGTCGTGGACAATACTGAAGCTGCAAACCAAGCTGTAGCAGTGTGTGTAGAAGTTGAGCTAGCTCAAGGTATGACACAGGATACTGGCGGAGCAATCTACACACGTAGAAGTGGGATTGTAGCTGAGCTAGAGCTGCATGACGTGCTTGACACTTCAAGAGACAAAAAGCTGACTTGGAGAAGGAGCTTGGAGTATCTTGGAGGCAATTTCCAAGAAATGTGAAGTTTCCTTATTCTTAGGAGAAGATAAGGGAATAGACAATGCACTTGAAGAATTGGAGAAATCAGCAAGGGGAGTCTCGGCTAGGGTTAGCCGCAAGTCTTATTATGAATAAATAAGCGTGTTGGAACCTTGTAGGATTTTTAACACAACTGAAAAAATTCTTAGCAAAGGGTGAGCGATTGTCTTGTAAGAGATTGTGAGCTAGAGTGCTAAGGGATTTGGCTGAAAGGTTCTTGAATCACGTATAGATTCAAGAACAAAATGAGGCTAGAACAGCAAATCAAGATGTGTCTTGGGTTTGCTTTAAATAGGGTTCTATATACTTGTAAGTTACAAACAGATTTACTAGTGAAGTATTTTCGTGTAGAGAAAATCTTTGTGTTGTGCTCTGTGTTAGTTCATGTGTTACCGCTCTTGCATTTTCAATTGGTATCAGAGCGGTCATCTGTGTATATTGCTAACATGTTAGATCTTGCGGAGAAAATGGAGAGCTACCAGGACATGGTAAACAATTCTAGAATCATTTTGGATTCCGGGAGCTGTGGCTCTTGGAAGGCAAGGATCAGATCCATGATCAATGGGATTGATCCATTGGCGTGGAAGGCAGTCCAGGTGAAGTGGGAAGAGCCTATGGTAGCAGATACTGGTGGGGTATTCCACCCAAAGCCGGAAGAGAGTTGGACTGAAAAAGAGTCAAAAAGGCAAAGTACAACTCCAGGGCTCTTACCACAATTCACTACAACATGTCAATGAAGACATTCAAGTTGTTTCAAGGAGTTGAAACTGCCAAGGAGGCATGGGACATACTTCAGATGCAGGGCCGGCCCAAAGTGATTTGACGCTTAAAGCGTAGGGTAAAAATGATGCCCTTAATCGAATTTTTTTTTTGCAGCATATTTTCTTCTTCACTCTTTGCATCTGAATTTTCTTCATTTCCTGCATCTTCTGTAGTAACAAACTCTTCATCTTCTTGAATAGGAAGCTCTTCAATGTCTTCATCTCCATTGTTCATCTCAGCTCTAGCTGTTTCATCATTTTCAGAATTGTTTATTTTTGTCACAAATCACTTGGCTGATTTCTAATCCTATTTTGTTGCATATTCTCTAATAATCTCAAACACACCAAAAAGTTTTTGAAATAAGAGGATAAACAATTTTTTTTGCTTAAAATCGATTTTTTCTGCTTAAAATCAATTTTTTAAGCTTAAGATCGATTTTTAAGCCCAATTTTTTTTTTTAAGCTTAAAATCGATTTTTTTAAACTCAGAATCGATTTTTGAAGCCCAGAATCGATTTTTTGAAACCCAAAATTGATTTTTTGAAGCCCAAAATTGATTTTTTGAAGCCCAAAATCGATTTTTATAAGCCAGAATCGATTTTTTTTTTAACATTTGATAGGGACAATGACTCTTATTTATAGGTAATTTTTCCTTCCCATTTTTTGGTCTTGGTCGATGTGGGATAAATGTTTTTACACACACTTATAAAAAAAATTTTGGGCTTTTTTTGCTGCCCCAAAAATTAGAGTCATCTGGGCTGCCCTGAAGCCCTTGCTTCATGGCCTTAGCTGTGGGCCGGCCCTGTTCAGATGCATGCTGGTATCCAAGTTCGAGAATCTGAAGATGGAAAAGCATGAAACCATTGCTAAATTTAAAGTTGAGTGCCCTATCACTGGAAGCAGCAACGTTGGGCAAGAAGTACAAAGACAAGAAACTTGTGTAGAAGTTTCTGAGATGTCTACCGTCGAGGCTCATGGGTTACAAGTCTGATCTGAATGTGTCTAGCAACACTGAGAACCTGGGTTTTGGTGAAGTTGTAGGGTTGCTTTAGGCACATGAAATGGAACTTGACAGCATAAAGAAACCTAGGAGTCTGGCGCTTAAGTGTGATAACCAAGCAAGCAATGCAGAAGAAGATGACCCCATAAGTTTTCTTGTCAGAAAACTTGATAGAGCACTGAGAAAATCTGGAAAACTGCAGAAGAAGTTCAACTCGATCAAGAAAAACTCAGATGGTGAGAAAGGCTACAAAAAGAATGATGTGCAGTGCCATGAATGCATGGGTTTTGGTCATTTCAAGACAGAATGCCCCACGATCAAACGCCGGGAAATTCAGTGTTTCAGATGCAAGGGATATGGTCACACTCAGCTGGAATGTATAATTGATCAGAACCATGAGAAAGAAAAGTCTATGCTTGCAGAAAAAGATTCTGAAGAGGAAAGTGATGACTCAGCAAATGAAATTAAAAATTTTGTTACCTTTATTGGTGTCACCGAGTTTGTCGAGGGGCAAGAGGATTCTGAGTCTGAATCAGAAAAAGAAAAGGAGGACGAGCTAATGAATAGCTACAAAGAGATTAGAGAAGCCTTAGTCAGCATTGGAAAGGAAAACACCAATCTGAAGAAGGAAAATCAGAAGCTGAATGCACTAGTCGAGACGCTGTATGCAGATCTTGAAGTAGCACAAAAGTTGGGCCAGGAGAGTGTTACACTGCTAAAGGAGAAGCTTGTTCTGGCAAACAAAGTGGAGGAAATGAGACAACACCTGAAGATAGAGAAGAAAATCTCAGAAGATCTTGAAGCTGAGCATTAGAGGAGTGCCAAGAATTAAGGGTGGAGACAAGTTTGTGTGTGAAGCTTGCAATCAAGGAAAGCAAGTTAAAGTCTAGTAAACGAGTTCCTGACATACAATCGAAAGCACTGCTTGATATAGTGCATATGGATTTGATGGGTCCATTGCAGACAGAGAGTATGGAAGGAAAACTGTATGTGTTTGTACTAGTGGATGACTACTCAAGATTCACTTGGGTCTGGTTTCTACGAGAGAAGTCTGAAACAGTTGATAGTTTCAGAATTTGGGCTTTGCAATTGATGAATGCAAAAGGGGGCATCAAGAAAGTGAGATGAAGACAAATTGCCCGGAAGCTAATTGGAAATGCCACCAAACATCGATTAGAGTAAACCGGAGAAGTCTAAATCGCCACCTATGAGCTTTAGAACCCTAGCATGAATCGAATATCCCCTAAGATATCCCTGTAAGCCCAACATTCGTTTTAGTAGAGTCTTGGTCTTGTTTTATTTTTGTGTTTTCAGTGACACACAACCCCACAAAAACCCCATTGGTCTTTGACTTCAATTACTAATCCAGTTCGAAGTTTCTGCAGAAAAGAAAACTCTCCCTGTGGATCGACACCCTAAGTACTACAACGCACGACTGTGCACTTGCAGAAACTAGGGTTTACAAATTTAAAACTTCTTTTGCGACATCAACCCTAGTGTGCATCATTCAACACAAGGACACGAGTCTACACTGAGTCTGTCAATGTGGTTTTTGATGATTATGCTCATATGAAGTGGGAGAGAGGTTGTGTGGGAAGTGACTCAGACGAGAGCGAAGAGAGATCTGAGCAGAACCAGGAGAAACACAAGCCCGAGGAGTCAAACCCATCGGCAGGACAACAGAGTCCGTCACAGAATGAGCTTGGGCAAGTCCATCGGAATTATTCATCCTCTGATGTTATTGGCGAGGTGAATGAGGGGAGGAAGACTTGGGGAGTTCAGCTGGACTTCAAGAAGATGGTTGGGAAGAACTCTGAGATGGTGTTGTTTGCATGCTTTGTCTCAGTCATCGAACCAAGGAATTATAGGCAGGCACTTGAGGATGAGTTCTGGATCATCGCCATGGAACAGGAACTGGAACAGTTTGTGTGAAATAATATATGGGAGCTAGTTCCACGACCGTCGGACTGAAATGTTGTGGGAACTAAGTGGATCTTCAAGAATAAAATTATTGAGAATGGTGCAGTTATGCAGAACAAAGCGCGGCTGGTGGCACAATGCTATTCTCAGATGAAAAGAGTCGACTTTGAAGAAACCTTTGCTCCTGTAGCATCGCTTAAGTCAATCAGGCTGTTTTTGGGAATAACGTGTATATTAAAATTCAATGTATACCAAATGAACATCAAAAGTGCTTTTCTGAATGGTCTTCTTTAGGAGGAAGTCTATGTTTAGTAATCTAAGGGGTTCAAAGACTCTGCCAATCTGAAACACGTCTACAAACTTCAGAAGGCGTTGTATGAACTGAAATAGGCACCTCAGGCATGGTATGAACGATTGATGAATTTTCTTGTTAAAGAAGGCTACATAAGAGGAAGTGTAAGCAATACCTTGTTCATCCAGGAACAGGCAGAGAAGATAAACATTTTTCATATCTATGTAGATGACATTATCTTTGGAGGCACCTCTCAAGAATTAGTCGATGCTTTTGTTGCAAGCATGACTCGCAAATTTGAAATGAGTATGGTTGGTGAGCTGAAGTACTTTTTGGGTCTTCAGATAACCCAGTCAGAGGAAGGTGTCTTCATATCACAAAACACATATGGGAAGAATCTGTTGAAGAGGTTCAAGCTAGATCAGTGTAAGGAGGTAAAGACACTAATGAGTATTACCACCAAGCTCACTCGAGATGAAGAAGGAGTCAATGTTGATCCAACACTCTACAGAGGAATGATTGGAATTCTGTTGTACCTCACAACGAGTAGACCAGACTTATGCCTAAGTGTTGGAATTTATATGAGGTTCTAAGCTAAACCAAAACAGTCACACCTTGAAACAGTAAAGAGAATCATCAAGTATGTCAAGGGAACATTGGAACTTGGAACCTGGTATTCTAAAGGATCGAATCAGAACTTGGTATGATACTGTGATGCAGATAGGATATGAATTGCAGATGATCGGAAGAGCACAAGTGGATGTTGTTTCTTCCTTGGAAACAACTTGGTATCGTGGCTCAGCAAAAAGTAAAACTTGGTGTTCCTCTCCATAGCTGAAGCAGAATACATCGCCATGGGTAGTTGTTGTAGTTAACTCCTTTTGATGAAGCAGATGCCCGCAAATTATGGAATGGATTCAGGGCCACTCCTAGTTTACTGTGACAACAAGTGTGAGATAAAAATTTCAAAGAATCTTGTGCAACACTCAAGAACTAAGCTCATTAACATAAGACATCACTTTATCCGTGAGTTAGTGGAAGAAAAACAGGTAGTGGTTAATCACATTGTCATTGATTTGCAACTGTCTGATTTATTCACAAAACCTTTGGATTTTAATTGATTTGTCACCTTAAGAAACTTGACTGGTGATTGTGGAATTTAACAAGTTTGTAAGATATGAAGAATTGATACAGGTTCTGACTCAGGGTGTATTTAAGGTTCAGATTTAGTCTGGAGGTTAATATTGCAGAGGAAAAGAGCTGTCTATCTTGTCGTCATGTCCGGCCATCAGAACAAGTTTCACGGAGAGAGCAAAATAAGCTAAAGCAGGTCGGTAGTAAGTTCGTCTCTAAGAAGTCAAGTGATGAGGCTAGCTTATGTACCAACCAAATCGATTGAGAGAGAAAAAGATTGTTGTCCAAAAGAGAAAAACCCAAGACTAAAAAAATGAAAGGAAGCTGTCTAAAAAGAAAAAACAGAGCAGAAAAAGAAAGGAAACTGCCAAGTTGTCTTGTACTACATCTCATAAACTGTATAAGATAATAAAGTTCCAGCTGCTCTCTCTTGATGGATGAAGGTTGAAAACTGATCAAGGATATAATAAAGACAGAACAGTGTGAAAGCTAGACTTTGCAGCGGCTAGACACAAAGAATCAAGAAAAGTTGAGTATACACTATGGGTCATGTGCTGAATCAGTTCGTGCGACATCTGAAAAGAAAAAGTAAAAACTTGATAAATCAATTGTTTTCAATAGCCAGTTAATAGGTGATGTATGAAAGATTGCTATTTGTGGATCAGCCATTAATTTTTCGGATTAAATGTGCTAATGATTGTTATGTCCTGGAGTTAAGTGATGTCACAGTGAATAAAGAATGACCCATGGACATATGATGGTGATTCGAGAAAGACCCAACAACAGCCTATGAATATAAGATGTTGTAAGATAAGTTATCTCGCCTGTTTTACTTTTAGGAAGATTGATGAGTCCGATGTAGGCAAGTAGAGTGCCAAACTGTATTCTCAATTCTCTGATGTTTGTGAAAAAGAAACAAATTCCTACGTAAGAATCTTCATTCAGACCAGCAGAACTCAAAAGCCGTGGGGAGGAGATATTCTTTTCGAGGAGCATCATCACATAGTCACTATTTTGGGCGTGTTTTTTTCATGGAAGCTGCATCAGCGTTCAATTATAACCAATTTCAGTTACTTTTCACCCAAGTATGTGGAGAGTAACACTATCATCATGTTTAAAAGTAGTTGTTGCAACTATTGCAGCTACCACTGTGTTTTTCCAGCGTCACCAGCAACACCAGCATCTCTTTTAAAATTAACCACAGCCTTACATTGATGTGAACACGGGCAACAATTTTCGATCTCGGTATTGTTTTTTTTTTGCCACGATCGCTGATGCAGCGTCGACGAAACGAACAGGCAGACCTAATCTTGCTCGAGAATCAACTTCCTTATGTTCTTTTAGAGGAACTTATCAAACTTCTCCAACTTCAAATCGAGGAAACATTCAGTGACATTGTCCTACAAGTTTTTGGGTTAGAAGGAAAGATACATATAGATGTAAAATTCCGATATTTTACTGATTTGTTTCGACATGTCCGTGTCGAAACACTTCGTTTGACTGAAGAAGAGATTAGCAGAGAAACTAGTCGGTGCAGGAGTGGATTTTGTGAGTGTAGAGAATGATCTCTCGTTGGTGATTAATTTTGAAGACGGAATCTTGAAAATGCCTTGTCTTACAGTGGACTACTACACCGAGAGAGTTATAAGAAACATAATGGCACGTACTCGAGCAGCCACGTGATAAGATCAAAGTACTGAACTCTTGTATAAACTGTATGTATAGAATGTAGAAGAGATATCGATTACATTCATCTACTCAATCTCATAACGATCGAGACCTCAAACTCAGACTCATAGCGTCTTTCAGTTTGTTACAAGATAAATGCATACCCTTCATAAAACTCCTCCTCTCTCTTTATAGTTCTCTCCTTCTAACAAACTCTCTCAGTTAGTTAGAGACTCTAGTTAGTCAACCCTCGTTGTTGACTTCTTCATCTTCTGGGCCCACATTACCCACTTTCTTCCTCCTCACGTACACCTTTTGCTTCATATCAATACCCCGCCCAATAAGACTGAGCTTGTCCTCAAGCTTGAATGTTGGGTATTCTCGATCAAAGGTTGAAGCTAAAAACCATGATGCTTCATGACGAGGTAAGTTCTGCCAAGCAATCAACACTTCCAATCTCCCATCAGTGTTGTACCTGGTATCAACTAACTCATCGGGAACCAGAATGAACTCGCCTATATCTGAAAAAGTATCCGGAAGAGCAATGATCTCAGACTGATCTCCAACCACAGCCTTAAGTTGAGAAACATGGAAAACCGGATGGATTTTAGAAGACGACGGTAAGTTCAGACGGTAGGCTGCTTTTCCGATCCTTTCTACCACTTCAAAGGGACCATAAAAACGAGCAGCTAGTTTCTGGCTTACTCTTCTACTGACCGAGTGTTGACGGTAAGGTCTCAGCTTCAAATACACTTTATCTCCCACCGCAAATTGTACATCCCTCCGATGTTTATCAGCACTCTTCTTCATGATCTGTTGAGCACGAGCCAAGTGATCCTTAATTCGATCAATCATTCTATCACGTTCACGTAACGATGTCTCCAACTCAAAGTTTTGTGTCGAACCCTCTTCAAAAGTTAGCAGAGCCGGTGGTTCTCTGCCATATACCACTTTGAAAGGAGTAGTCTTCAGTGATGAATGATAGTTCGTGTTGAACCAGTATTCAGCCCAGTGTAGAAAGGTAAACCAAGTCTTTGGGTGTCCCGATGCGAAGCACCGTAGGTACGTTTCTAAGCATCTGTTTGTGACTTCCGTTAATCCATCTATTTGAGGATGAAAGGCTGAACTGAAATTTAACTTGGTACCAGCCAATCTGAAGCATTCCTTCCAAAATTTACTTAGGAAAATGCGATCTCTATCCGATACGATTGACGTTGGGAACCCGTGCAAGCGTACAATCTCTTTCACAAACTTCGCAGCCACATCTGTCGCATTGAAAGGATGTTTAAGCCCAATAAAATGGCTATAGCGACTGAGTCTGTCTACTACCACGAATATCACATTTATTCCGCATGAAGAAGGTAAGCCCTCTATAAAATCCATGCAAATGTCCTTCCAAATCTGATCAGGAATTGGCAATGGTGTAATAACCCTGCAGGAGACAATGTAGAATATTTATGTGTTTGACATATTCCACAAGCTGACACATACTCCTGTACCGTCTTTCGGATGTCTTTCCAGTGAAATAGTTGCTGAACTCGTTTCAGCGTCTTAACAATTCCTGAATGCCCACCCACACAACCATCATGACACTCGTTTAGTATATTCGGAATCATTCGAGAAGATTGTGGGATTAGTAACCTTCGTTTATACCACACTCTGTCATTTACCAATGAGAAGCCCTTCTTCACTACTTCTCCTGCTTTCAGTTTTCTTCAATTCTTGAATGTCCAAATCCACTTCGATTTCATCATATATATCTTGTAACTGTATCGCATGAGGAACTGTGAGAGACAGTAAGATTGAGTTCACTTCGGTTACCCCAGTTGGTGTTATCCTTGATAAACCATCAGCGGCTTTATTCTCTACTCCTGGTTTATACACGATTTCAAACTGATATCCGAGTAGTCTCTGTAACCACCGTTGATATTCCATTGATACCTCTCTCTGTTCTAACAGAAACTTGAGACTCTTCTGATCAGTGTGGACTATAAACTTCTTACCAATCAGGTAGTGCTTCCATTTTTGTACCGCAAACACAATTGCCATTAATTCCCTCTCGTAAATGGGTCTCAATTGTTCACGAGCTGTTAAGCTGTGGCTGAAATAAGCAATCGGTCGTTTGTTTTGCATGAGCACTGCATCTAATCCAAAACCACTTGCATCCGTCTCTACAATGAAAGGTTCTGAAAAATTGGGTAAAACCAGCACTGGAGCTGACATCATAGCTTCTTTCAACTGATCAAATGCTTCCTGAGCTTCTGATGTCCACACAAAACAATCCTTCTTCAATAAACTGGTCAAGGGCCTTGCCAAACATCCATACCCTTTAACAAATCTTCTGTAATAGCCAGTTAAACCCAGAAACCCTCTCAATTCTTTGACTGTTTTTGGAGTTGGCCATTCTTTCATAGCCAAAGTTTTACTTGGATCTGTAGCCACACCCTTTTCTGATATTATATGCCCCAAATACTCCACTTGTGTTTGGCCAAATAGACACTTCTTCTGGTTGGTAAACAGTCGCTGGTCAGCAAAAACTTGTAACACCAGTCGTAGATGATCTATATGATCCTCAACCGAAGCACTATAAACCAACACATCGTCAAAGAACACCAATACAAACTTCCTTAGAAATGCTTTGAAGATCAAATTCATCAAGGCTTGAAATGTGGCTGGTGCATTAGTCAATCCAAAGGGCATCACTAAGAATTCATAGTGACCTTCATGCGTTTGAAATGCCGTTTTTTCCACATCTCTGTCCTCCATTCTTATTTGATGATATCCCGACCTCAGATCAAGTTTAGAAAATACCCTTGCATCGTGGAGTTCATCCAAAAGCTGATCTATCATCGGTATTGGATATTTATCCGGAACCGTAGCTTTATTCAAAGCTCTATAGTCCACACAGAACCTCCAAGTATTATCTTTCTTTGGGACCAATAATACTGGACTTGAGAAGGGACTTTTACTAGGTCGGATAATGCCAGAATCAAGCATCTCGGTGACCATCTTCTCCATAGCCTCCTTACTGGCATGTGGATACCGATATTGTCGTACCGACACTGAATTCACTCCAGGAAACAGTGTGATGGAATGCTCGTGGCCTCTCACAGGTGGTAGTCCTTTAGGCATGGCGAATACATGGTTAAAATCTTCTAAGACCGGTTTCAACGCCTTCGGGGTTTGTACTTCAGAAGATTTCACCGTATGATTGTATAAGCCAATTGAAACACTCTTCGTTTTCAATGTGAATGTAGGAGGTAGTGACTTAAAGGACAATCTTGGAGATAGCAAATCCGGATCTCCCACCAACTTCATCCTTTGTCCTTTATATGTAAAAGCCCAATCGTGAAGCTCACAATCTACTTCACACTTGCCTAAAGTTCTTAGCCATTGTACTCCCAATATTATATCTGCTCCTCCTAACTCCAGTGATATGAAATCCGCAGTAAAATCTGTTCCTTGTAACCCAAATTCCACGTTTCTGCAGACTCCTGACCCTTCCGCAACAATTCCCGTTCCCAACTTCACATGTAAATTTTTACACTTCTGCATTGATAGTTTGGCACGATTAATTGTTTGAGGATCCACAAAGTTGTGGGTGGCTCCACTGTCTATCATGAATATGAAAGTGTTTCTGCCAATTGTCCCTCTTAACTTGGTTGTAGATGGTGAATCTAAACCCATGAAGGCATTAAAGGACAAGTGCATCATTTCCACTTCCTCTACTATTGGTCCATCTTCTGTCTCAACCATATTCTCGTCTAACACTTCCATTTCATATCCATTCCTGTGACCTGAGAGGATAGTTCTTGGAATTCCGTAACATACTGCCGAACTGATCCCGTTTGTTGAAGGCAGCACAAACGTTTACCCGGTTCATCATCCAACGATTCCGCAAACTGATCGAATAGCCGTTGTTTGAAATCTTCCCAATCCACAAACATTTCTTGCTCTATTTCCCAGTTGAACCAACTTAATGCAGGTCCCTCAAGACTCAACGCAACCAATTCCAATTTCTGAGTGCTCGTATAACTTCCCAGACGAAAAAATCTTTCAGCTCTCGCAATCCAGCCATACGGTAATGTTCCATTGAACACAGGCATATCTACTTTCCTCAATAGGCTTTCGCGATTCGCTAATACACTAGAAATTCCCCGATAACCTAATTGATTGACATCCGGTTCAAGATCTTGAGAACGCGAAAGAACCTGAGTATTCAATTGTGACGGATCTAGGATTTGAGTGTGCGAAGATGTCGCGACTGATTTCGAAAGCGCTCGTTCTTCTCTGTGAGCTGGATCGAGCTTTTCCAGTGTTGATGCGATCGTTGATAAGATTTCTGAGTGGCGATGCATCGCTTCCGATTGATTCTCCAATCTTCGATCTATCGCGAAGATTCGCTTGCTCAGCTCGCCTGTTCTCTGTGATGATTGTTCCCAGCTTCCCTTCATCACCTCCATCTCCGCATGAATTTCTTTCATACTATCTTCTACCGCCGCTAATCTCGATAACGAATCCACCATTTCTCCCATCTTGAGGTCTGAATCGCGAGCTCCGAACGTCACGACGCACCAATTTGATAAGATCAAAGTACTGAACTCTTGTATAAACTGTATGTATAGAATGTAGAAAATATCGATTACATTCATCTACTCAATCTCATAACGATCGAGACCTCAAACTCAGACTCATAGCGTCTTTCAGTTTGTTACAAGATAAATGCATACCCTTCATAAAACTCCTCCTCTCTCTTTAAAGTTCTCTCCTTCTAACAAACTCTCTCAGTTAGTTAGAGACTCTAGTTAGTCAACCCTCGTTGTTGACTTCTTCATCTTCTGAGCCCACATTACCCACTCTCTTCCTCCTCACGTACACCTTTTGCTTCATATCACAACGTCACTACCCGTTCTCTGCCTTAGTTTGTAACTACATCATCTTCTTGGATTTCCTCATCAACACCGAGCAAGACGTTAACTTGCTCATCAAAAAAGGTAAAACACTTAACAAAATATATATCTAGTTCGGAACTAATTACAATTAGCTATATGAGACAATATAGGAAATAGAGGTGCGCAACCCTGAAACTTGGAATTTTTGGTTTGTGAAATATAACACAGGTAGAACAAGTTGGTTACATTTTTTTTTTGTTTTGTTATTATAAAGGAGTGATCCGGACTTTTTACCACCCAACTAATGCCTCAATTGCCGTCGAGTTAGCCCACTCACCAGGTTTATTTAATGAGTCTAAAAATATAATACCATTTTGACTGACCCTCCCTCGTTGGTTCCAGTAACGTCTGGATTCGAGCTTTCAGCAGGTATATTCCAATTTCAAAGATTTTATAAAACCAAAACAATTTTTTTTTCATCTTCAACTAGATTGGTTTGGTTAAACCAGGTTGTTGAACATTCCTATACTTTTTTTTCTTCCAATTTTTGAGATACCTAACAAATCTTCACATCTTACGTCAAAAGGAATTGTAAAAAACTGGGCGAGACATCCAGCTGGTACGGTGATGGAAAGGTTGAGCAAACTGTGTGAAGAGATGGTTGATTATGGCTCTCACTAGTCACTACTACGATATAGCCGAAAGACTCAACGAACACTACAAAAACTCATATAAAATTAAAATAAAAAATATTATATCTACCGTATCCACAGATCCCTCGATACTCTCCGGCGAGTCTACTTCAAAGACCTTTGGACCGGAACTGCCACCGTTGGCGCCGTCATCATCCTGGTGTTGACTTTGACTGGGACGGTTGCTTCCGTTCTCCAAGTGAAGTAGAACAACAATAATCCTCCTATCTATCAGCTGCCGCTTTCCACCTCCGCCTCCGGCTTGAAGCCTAGTTTTGTTCTTGTTTTACACGTAAAGAAACTATATCACTTCTGCAGAGCAATTTCAAATATACTTTCGGTTGCCTTCTTTGTAAGAAATCTCGAAAATGTTGTGTAATAATAAACATAAGTTTTTTTTTTTGTTTAAACGGGAAAAGAAGATATGAATTTTACAGAAAATACCAAAATAACCTTTTTATTTGTGAGACAACAATAAAATCCTAAAACGATACTTAATTTACAGCTGAGCAAATATAAATAGTTTAGCTCTGAATTAGTAATTTAGGTAGGGAAGTTACATAACTATCGAAATTTCGTCTACTTACACATGTTCACCCTGCAACTTGCGTCTACTTACACAACGAAACTGCTCACGATTCAATCTTCTTTTCCTGGAGCAGCTTTTGGTTCATGAGCGTTGCTGTTTGCCTTCTTCTATAAGAAAATGAACCATAGCTTTGACGACTTCGTTGTGGACTATACCTGATTTCTGCAACAAACGTGAAGAGAGAGAGGAGAGATTAGTCCTGAGCTACTTACCTCATCGAGTGGATCAAATGAAGGATTGAACATGTAACCTCGGGTTTTTGGATGAGATCTTTGAGAATGGAATGGAGTGTTAACCGAAGCTCTTTGAACAAAACTGCGGTTTGAGCTGGTGCTGCTAGGTTCAACCACCCATCAATGGTGACTGTTCCACTCTGTCACGATAGAGAAAGAGCACGCAGAGCAAACCAAAAGCCATAAACAGAGTATCCAACAAGAATCGTCAAATCGTTTTCGAAAGAAATGTGCAACCAAAACTTTTCAAAAGACTCTTAGGAACTGCGTATAGGATGTTTGTGTGATAAATGCCTGGTTCTTGATTAATTTTTTTGCATACAGCAAGACATGAACAATACCTGATGATGAACATCGACTGAGCCACCAAAAAGTAGAATAGAGAAAGGAGAAACAATGGTTGTATCTCGCAGATAAACTAATTTCTTTGATTCAACCTACAAGAAACAAGAAAGTCGATTATATTATCTGTAATCAGATGATATATTAAAATGATCTGCATTGTACAATCAGATTGAATGTTATTCAGTCACAATCATTACCAATTATGAAGCCAAATCTGAAAACTTCTGAGGCAAGTAAATAAGAGGGATAAAAGTAAAAGCAAATGCTTCCAAATTACCTTCTCAAAGAATACAAGGAAAGGGTATTGAAACGCTTTGCAGTTCTTATTTATAGAAGTATGATCGATATGGACTTCTCTTCTGCCATCATGCCATACTGCATAACGTTGTGTTTGTTTTTCTGGCTTTGTTAAACGGTTAACCAATCCCTCTGCGATATTCGGACATAGCCCCGCGCATGATATAGCCTGTACAATTTGGAAGGAGAACTCATGTACTGACAAAATTTAACTGACAAAATTAGAGCCAAGATTCATAAATACAATCTTTTGCCATTTTGCCTTTAGATAAAGGCACTGAAACTCTATTGCAACTTGTAATAAAATCATAGATGCTTAGCAACAAGAAGAAAGAATAGCGGAGCACCAGATTTACTTTACCTTAACAACTTCAGGTTCTTGTGAATACATATTGAAAGGTTGAGTTTTATCAGAAAACCAAACATCAAGATTATCTTTCCTTCTCTGCGCGAAATAGGATAAGAAACATTTTTAGTTCCTGATCATATTTCATTACATAAACATGGGCATTCTTTCTCACCAAGCTTATTAACATGATGGAACTTGATGGTGTTGTATCGAAAACTTATACAACAATAATAACAATGTTTTGGTGCATGTGTCTTCCATGTAAGATCAGACACATTTTCCATTTTAAGTATATATAGTTCAGATATTGTTAGATAAGTTACCTCGCCTGTTTTACTTTTAGGAAGATTGATGAGTCCGATGTCAGCAAGTAAAGTGCCAAACTGTATTCTCATGTCTCTGATGTTTGTGAAAAAGAAACAAATAATTAAGACTCATAGGATGGACACAAAAATGATGTGAATAAGAAAAAGATCAACTAAGACATCATAGTTTCATTTTCAATCATTTCATGTTATTTTTGGAAATCTTTTGTAGACAATTTCTAGCATCAAAGTAATATATACCTTATCGTCTGCATCACAGAGCTGCTCAAAAACTTTGAATCACAGAACCTCTCTGCAGCTTGAAATCCTTGCTGAAGACATCACAAACACATAAAGCACGTCAGATTTGGAGGACAGTGAGACACTTCCATGACCAATCTTTTCTATGTAAGCAGTCATGCTACATCAAACAATCCCTCTACTCATCTGTAAACCTCAAACTTTATTTACAATTCAACCCAAAGCCTTAACTTAATCATATATCTTTAACGAATTAGTTGCAACAAGAGACTTAGAAAGGTAAATCTCTTTCCAAGATTTGTAAAGCTTATACTTAGAAAGTTACTTAAATGCATGTACTGTCTATCACTTACAATTTTTTTTATAAGATTTCTTGCTTCTAAGAACAACTTTCCAAAACGAGGACATACATATTTTGTTCTTAAATCTACTATTGGGCTGTAAGGTAAACTTAATAACTTATACACAGTAAAAGCTAGATAGTAAGCGGCAGATAAAAATACCCTTTTTTCACATACCTCATGCAGTATCTTCGCCCATTTCTCGTATGCAACCATCATAAGGAGGTGATCAGATTGTTTGTCATTGTTGTTTAGATTACTCGAACTCTCCAGCTTATCACACAAAAGAGCAAGTTTCACCCGGTCGACATTTTGCTTCTAAGAAAAGGAGAGCAAACATATTGTCAGTTGAGAACCTCCTTGCTCAAATCAGCCAAGTTACGATAAAGTAAAAAATGTACCTGATCTTTGGGATATGTAAATGGCGATTTGTCGCTCAAGAAAGCAGCAATCGAGAGAATAGGTGATAAGCAACCAAAAATGCCACCATATAATAGCATCTGCAATTTTTAAAACGTTTAGTTATGATATGAGGCTAGTGTAGCAGTGATGTTACTTAAGCAAACCTTTCCAATCAACACATCAACAGGAAGTTTTGCTAAATGATGCCCAAGCGGTGTTAACTCCTCGTCTCCTTCAACAGCACCGACCTACAGAAGACAGAGTTCCCAAAAGAAGGCTCAGCACAGCAGACTCAAAAAGGTAAACACATATCGTTTTACCTGAATTGATACTAAAATCAGTGGTTGAGAAAACATAGAGCATGGGGAGTCTAAATGTAACAAACTCTAATTGACACTGCAGATATACGTCACAGTGAAAGGTCTCAACTATTGGATGTATCAGGAACTAATAGTTCTTACAAAACAAAAACTTTTATCGAATACAAGTACATGGTACCTTGCGCAACAATGAAATTGCAGAGTTTATAGCACCTTCACTCGGAGGTTCCAAAGCTTATAGTGTAAAGACCGTAAGGGGAAAAAAAAGAGTAAGACGAATGATAATGTAAGTTCTTTTGAAACTAAACTTGTTTTCACTTGCCTTGGACATAAAAGGCTTAATGTGACCCAAGCCAAGCGATTTGATTTGTAAACAAGACCCTACTAAAGGCTCCCGCAGCATCTCAGGAACCTAGCCATCAAAATGGAAACCGTGAGGTTAGAGGAAAAAACACAAGTGATCGCGAAACCAGAGAAGGAGAGTCTAAAAGAAAGACACCTGATAGGGACGCATGAGCTTCTCGAACCTATGCCGTGTGTACAATGAAAAGCAAATTCCGGGTTTGACACGTCCAGCTCTTCCCATTCTTTGTCTTGCATTTGCTTTAGATATCCAATCTTCCACCATGCTTGACAACTTCTGTGATTGATAAAATAATGAAGCACCAAAAGATGACATCTCAGAGACAGAAAAACAATGATCATGAGCGAATGATAGGAAGTGTTAGTTCCCTGAGATTTTGCCTATAGAAAGTGTTTGTTCCTTGAGATATTTTTTTGTTTGTTTTTTGTTTGCAGATTAAGTTACTAGGAAATGATACTTAGCCAAAATTCTTAAAAAGGAAACAATATATTAACATTTCATGTTAGTACAAACATAATCGTACAAGAAAATGGTTAACTGATTCATTAGCATTTGGAATACCTTCTGTGGATTATAGCGTTTTTCCTTGTGTTTGCCACTGTCAATCGCATACACCACATCTTCAATTGTTATACTGGTCTCTGCAATATTTGTAGCTACGATAACCTGAACATAAGAGACGATGCAAAATATTAATCAGATAGGGGTCAGTATAATGTATGGAAAAGATCTTTCAGAAAAATGTATTCAACACTCTTATGACAACAAAAATATATTTTCAATCCGCCTAGTATTATCAGCTTATTTAAAAGAAGAGAACTCATGAAATTCTTTCAACTACATCTTCTCAAGTTGTGTGAATGTTCCTCTCATCAAGTCATAAACGGATTGAACTGCTCTCTACATATCATTTTATACCTTTTAACCAATAAATCCACATTAAATTTAAAAGAAACTCTCAAGGAGTGAAAGACCATAATGCATGTAATGAAAATGAAAACCTTTTGTCAATCTGAAGTACGAAAAAGGTTGTCTACAGGACAAAATTAGTTTAACCACAAGTGATGTTAGTTATTGTACATAACTAAGGAAACAAAACATTTGCACAAGACAAGATAATGTCTTATAACACGATAAGCATGAAGCCCTTAACAACTATAGATTGTTCTCCACAAGGAAAAAGTAATGCACTGAAGACGAAGCCATTAAAAATTTGTTCATGTGGAACAAACAGAGTAAAAGTGACTGCTAACACAGAATCAAAGACCATCAAGGAGGAAAAGAAAAAAAGTAAGAGAATATATTGAGGTCACATGAAATTACCTTCCGTATGCCTTTAGGCGGGCGCCAAAACACCTTTTGCTGTTCTTTAGGTCCAATAGAAGAATGCAGAGGCAAAAGCCACTTCGCAGAAAGTCCACGAAAACGATCGGAAGCAGATAACCTATTGAGTAACATGGAAATTTCTGACATTCCCTGTTATTATTCCACCAAACAAATGTCAAGTTGAAGTGATAAACAGAGTGATTGATTCTCAATTAACAGAATAGATCTCAGAATCAGCTTACAGGCAAAAACACAAGAATGGCTCCTTCCTCATTATTGGCATCAATGTGGCATATCAATTCTTCAAGAAGCTCGTAGTCAATAATATCCTCATTTAACCTTTTCTGCACGGTACTCACAAGTTATTTGGACTTATGAAAACTAGGTGAATAAGAGAAACAGAAGCTTAAAGGTTCGTCATTTCTAACATTTCTTTCGTGCGGTCGCTGTAAGCTTCGTAATTAGTGGAAACATAAGACGACTTAAGACAGTCCTCTGAAACCATATAATTTTCGCCCCATCCAGCCAACATATGATTCTTCTTTCCCCTATGGACCTTTACAGGACCAAGCTGCAGACATTGAATCCATGTATTAACTAAACAATATCCAAAGTTTCAACAATACAATCTCGATGAGATTTTCAATTTTTCAGTATAGCATCAAGACGTGCAAGAAGTGGAAGAGCTCAACCATAATTTTAAGTGAATGAAAGAGATAAAGTTAAGTCTAGGAGTTGCTGGTCGGAGTGAAAAAGGTGATCAAGAAATATAACAAATTATATTTTTGGTTACACAAGATATACCTCGTCTTGATTGGATGAATCAGATCTTAGGGCGGCAGGAGAATCTGGAGCCAGTAGGTATTTAGTCTTCTCATAAATCTCCTCCAGAAAGTAAGTAGTAACCGGGTGTGTTCGTCCTTGAGCCGTTACTACAGGACATTGTCCAAAATATCTTGAGAACCGATCTGCATCAATAGTAGCAGACCTGAAAAGGGCATCAGACGCATGAATACATATAATGTTTACTTGCTATTTAAAATTTGCCATCGGAAAACAAAAAGCTACACATACATACATAAGGATAACTTTCAGTTTAGGTGATGCTTTGTCGCAGGATTGCTTCTCAATCATTCTCTTCAAAAAGATGAGAAGAAAATCACCCTGAAATTGAAAAAAAAGGTTAGTTTTTTCTCACACAGAAGTTGATTCCTAGATTTTTTTTTTAAAAAAAATTTGATTGTAAGTGAAAGGCATTTTCTGGTCCGATAATTCAACACTTGCAAAGTGACATGTCAACCCTTAAATGTGTATCTCTTTTTGTCAGCAACGATGCCAAAATATATTTGGTTTGTCATAATAATTGAAGGCTGAGTTAAAGGATACTCACCTTAAGAGACCGCTCATGCACTTCATCGACTATGATATGTGAAACACCTTTCAAGGTTTTATCCCCCTGCACGTGCAAGAAGTTGAAGAAAAACAGTGTGATTTGTTGATTATAGATTTATAGTATTGTCCAAAAAAATTGAGAGTGCATTTTCCCATTATGCTTACAGAACAGCATTGTAGTACGTGTCGAAGAAGTAGAAATTGCTGTAGTGTCTAAGAACTAGAATTGAAATTTCTAGAAATTGCTGGAGCTAAATCCTCTGATACTACCAATGATAAAACAAATCATGACAAATCTTCTTTTATCACCCTTCGACGCATGCACCTATCTCAACTAGTGGACACTCAATGTTACCATTAATTATCAGCGACTTTGTTCAGGTGTTATCTTTTCTGAAAGTTCAGGTTTTCTAGTTATGGTACTGCACGTTTATTAACAAAAATTGTTACTATTTCTCAGCATCTAAAATTGCTACAGAAAGTAAAAAGAATCAATTGCTTGCACAAGAGCTTACTAACAAATAGAGGACATACCCCAAGTTTCCTCAGTAGAGTGCCAGTAGTACAAAAGAGAAGCCTTGTCTTCTCACTCCTGAACAAGTACACAAGGACATAGTAATACGCCCAAGAAAAGCTTCGTAAACCACAACCCCAAGGAAACATCATTCAAAATAAAAGCCAAAACAGAAATGCATATATTACGACCAGATGATGATAGTAGTATATGCAACAATATCCATTGGTGAAGCCAGAAAGGCAGCATAATGAACAGACGAGATTATGTGTTGGAGGACACAATGAGGTTTTCTTTCCAATCATGTTCTACACAGAAGGTGATAAGTTACATTCATATGTAACTTTCACAAATGCATTCCACCTAAACATAGAACAAAAGTAAGAAATGTTTCTAGTCATCCATTGCTTAAAATTAAGACGCAGACCTTGCACTTTGATGACGAATTTGATAACCAACCAAGGAGTCACCTACGCCAGGAGGGGATTCACAGCGCTCATCAACAACTCTTTGTGCAACAGAGATAGCCTAAACCATATTACGCAGTTACTAATAGACACAAGAACCAAACAAGAAAATCCTGAAAACATGACTTCTTAAGACTGAGATACTCACTGCCATCCGCCGAGGTTGTGTGCATATGATATTACAGTATCCACCACGCTCCGACTCGATCATATCATCCAATATAAATTGAGGAACCTGGAATAGTGTATCATTTAATAATGACTCAATGCTTATAGCTGGAGCAACTGTAGAGACCAAACCTGTGTAGTCTTTCCAGAGCCTGTTTCTCCGCATACCACCAAGACATCCTTTTCTTTCAGATGTTGCAGTATGTCATTCTTCAATTCTGATATAGGAAGAGCAGCTCTAGCTTTCAACATGTCCTACAAAAAGTAATAAGATTATTAACTGGAATGAGCTAACTAGTGTGTGAAGCTTTATGCATATAACTGTAGCTTAAGAAATTAGCGACGTGAACAACATTCTTACTGTCACTAGAGCCAAAACTTATGTTCAAACATAAACGAAAACAAAATCTTACCTTGTACTTCGGAATTTTCTTCTTGTTTTCTTGTTTTCGTTTCAAAGAAGAACATTCAGCTTCAATGGAAGAGTCTCCTGTAATATATCATACAGAAGATTATACTTCCTACTAATGTTTTTTTCGGCAGTAAAATCCAGGGTTATATGATTTAAGCAACAGATACAATCTGTGACAATTTGAACCCAGGAACCATACTTTTAGCTCTATGGTTAGATTTGACAACATCCAAGTCATCATTCTCTTTGACACAGGAGTCTGCCATTGAAAGTGCACCGTTTTTTCCACTCAACGAAGTGGTCAAATTGAAATTGTCTGCCTCAAGTAAGCTGTCAACAAACTTTGCTCTTCGTTCTTCTTCGCTGCTTTGTATACCCAATGATTCCTCTGTGAAAGCTCAAAAGCAACTCTTTTAGAGTGATTATAATATTGCAAACATTTAAGGCCAGAACATATGCATGCTGAATCCCGAGATATGTCAAAACATTAAGCACACAATTATGTCGTACTTCGTCCACTCTAGTTCATACTTTCTTATAATTTCGCACAATACTGATGCACTTTTTAACAGTCAACATTTGAGCAAATAAAATCCAAAATTCCAATGCAAACTGTAGTTTCTTTATACTCTCACAACTTCATAATAAACTAGGTCATCATTCAAAACTTTTATGGACACTAATGCAAAACTTTGTTTTGAAAAAAAAAAAGTTCACAAAATCACCTTGTTTCCAGATCAAAACTAGAGAGGCATAAGGCTCAGTAATTGCAAAGTAAACAGGCAAATCAGAAAAGAGCTTATGGAGCGCAAATGCCGCAACTCTGTTTTGTGCATCCTGTCACACAAAAGTGCACTCTTATGGTCAGCATATATTACAGGCATAGATGATTATTTCCATTAATGCTATCAACTTCTAGTTTTTTTTTCAAGAAGATATATCCCTGACAACATTCACTCACAAGAGCCTAATTTGGACACTTGTTTAGCACCTTATCAAAAGATTATCAAATGTTGTATTACAGCAAGTACCTCGATGGATTCACAATCCTTAGCTTGATGAGGAAGTTTAAGAGTTACCAGATCCCCAGCTTGTCTGCTTTTACAACATCCACTGGATTTAACCATAACAGTTATGGTATATGAGAAACTGCTTCCTTCCCCTGTTACTTTATTGAACCTTGGTGCTTCCCACCCTGACTTTTGACACAATTGATGGAGTATTGCCTTTGGGATCTTTCGTGATTGGCCCTGTAAAACTTTTACAAAGTTAAAACTGACTAGAATAAACCAAGAGGAAAGAAGAAAAAAAACAAACTGTAGCCAGAGGAGGAAGTTCTATATCTATCAAACATTGTTAGAACTCAACTGCTTGATCATAAAGTCAGTATAAGTGATAAATGAAGAAGCATCAAAGCATCAAAGGACCTAATACTTGCAATAGTGTTTTAAAAGCCAAAATGGTATTTCTCCTAGGATCTTGTTGGTGTGAAGAGTTACCTTCTTCCAGATATCCTTAAGTTTCTCAAGATTTCTCTCATTGCATAGTTCTCTCATAATTTCCTTCTTCTGTAACTCCTGGAGTTCAAGAGGCGAAGGTTCATAAGGCGGAACATCTTCTAAGAACAAATCGCCAAGCTTCATGTCATCTAAAACATCTTCCGACATAACCGATTCTTGTCCCGAGGTGTATAAAAGAAGAGCTTTAGGTTGAGACTCCTCAGAATTACAGCTTCCAACAAGATTTTCATCCAAGTTCAAGTCATCTAACAGCTGATGAACGTCATCAGGCATGGTGGAGGTTACTTCTTTCTCTGTAGCGTCTTCAAAACATTGTTCACGCAGAAACTCAGATTCCAACATTCCTTCTGATATCCCTGCAAAACAAAACACAGATAGCTCATGACATACTCATGATTGAAAGATTGATTACTCAATCAATACCTGCAGATAACTCTTGCTTGAGCTTGCAAATGGCTAGGCCTGCTTGCTTCTGTCCTCTTTCATCACCCTTCCTCTTTGCTTTTACAGCATCTGATCTTTCCAAACAATATTCCTCGGCAATCTCATCGAAAGGCCTTGGACCAGGTACCTAGTACGGTAAGTAACAATATATCACTGCAAGTAGAGCTTGGCCTAACTAAGTAGTCTTTCTAACATAAAAGAAAAGAAGCCTGGAAAGTGGTTGAGTCACCTCCTCGTCCGAAGATTCCATTTCTTCCTGAAAATTCAATTCAAAGAAACATATCCATTGTTTTGCGTCTTCATATTCAAAGTATAAGTCTTTTGGAAAAATGGTTTGAAGCGTTATGTATGGTTTACCTCTTCAAGTCTTCTCATGTACTGACGAATCCAATCAGCTTGAGAAGATAATTGACAAGAACTAAGAGTGTCTTCTTCTTCATCTCGCTTGCTCTTCACTCGTATTAAAACTTCAGGCTCTTCCTGCTTTAACTCGACCAAAGAGTTACCAGACTCAGTCAAATCTTCCCGTGACGTCGATATCACACCCACGGAACCGCCTGCTTCACCAATAAGAATATGTACAAGAAATCATTGCAACAAAAACCGCTGAATTTTTTTTTAATAAAAAAAAATTGAATGTAAAATCTATACAAAGCCAAAAAAAATATCGCGTAGATATTCGAATATTGCAACATACATGTCGTAGGAAAGCGAGAAGCTCCTGAAGAAAATTTCAATGGCAACTCGAGACTCGGGAAGTTTAAGCAGAGCCAATCAAGAGCAGACTCAAATGTTGCTCGATCCTTAAACATAATAGACACACAAATTTCATTACGAAATCGCCAGAAAACGGAGAAAATGTTACTGAAGAGAACGATTATCTTCAATATTAGGTGAAATCGAATTGAAATTTTAGTGAAGGCGAGAGAAGTTACTATAAGAGAGGAGAGAGCGGATTCGATCTGATCATTTGAAAAGCCTTCGCAAGAGAGTTTATCGTAGAGATTAATGAGTTTCTTCTTCGTCTGAGCCTTGACGAGCGCACTAAGGATAGGAGCCTTAACCGGAGAAGAGGTCCGGCGAGAACTGAGCAAGAGTCGCCGCAAGCGTTCCTCTTCCTCCGGCGAAAGCAGAAGCTTTGGGGGTTTAGACGGTTTCTTATGGCTCGAATTTTGTAGTGGAGAAACGACAGTTTTGTTGATTTGCTTCAGAGGTTTCTTCTTCGGTGCCATTTCTCGTCGTACGATCACTCGTGAGGAAACTGTTCATTTCCCAGTTTTCGAGTTTCTATTTTTCTTTGTAGGGCTTTTTGGTTTGGAGCCAAAAGTTTAAATTGTATTTTTAACTTTGCCCCTTATATTATTCTACCTTTTTTATCAATTTGCTGCATAGTTTTAGAAGGAGAGTATTCAACCTAATTCAGAGAGAGTTTTCCAAAATGAGTATAATTTGAACGTAAACATTGTGGTGCAATCATACCAACACTAATACACCGGATTATAGCAGTTAAGTCTGTTTGAGAGAGAGTACTAATAGGATGGAGTTTAGCTACTCAAATACCATGTTCAAAATTTTGCTTGACTGTAATCGGACGTTCATGTGTAGCCTAGTGCCTAACAAAAAAAAAAAAAAACAGAGCTTTTTCTTTGGCTGTCGTAAAATTTGTGAGAGAACTGAAATATGAGTAGTTTTTGTTAGAAAGATCTATATAGACATAGTCTACAATCAGGGAACCAAAATATAAATAAAGTATTTCTTAAAGAACTAGAGTATCACATCAAGTAGAAAAGAGAAACAAAATGAGCAAGAGATAGAAACTCAACTCTTTCATCCATCAGGACCTCCTTGTGCCACATAAAAGGTCAATTGGTTATCCGCTACAAACACTTTTGGCAATTTGAGGAGCTGTTTGATTACCTTTTGTTGGTTCAATTGTTCAAATATGATGTCCTAGCTAATCTGCTCTTTCATGATGTCCAAAAGTGTTGTAATCTGTTTAGTAAATGCTAGCTATTCTCGTGGTTTATGGAGAGTTTTGATGACTTTCATCGATGAAGAGGGGAAAGTGATGTTTTGTACCTTGAGACTCATCGTGCTTTCAAGCACATATTCCCAACTTTTCACTTTAGCATCAAAACATGTCATTACCTACGAAAAGACCCTTCAACTATGATGCAAGGCCATACCTGAGTTATTCTCCCACAATCCAAGTATCACCAGATATATTCTTAGCAGTAGACCAAGCAAAGCAAATGTTTCACTTGAGTTGATCATTATCAGGTGGATTCCACTTGAACCCCACTGTCTTATCTTCTGGTGAGTTCTCACTATTTTTCCTCGGCACCACCAGCCTTTGACGGGCATCATCACAGGCTTTTTCGACCACCTAATTCTTCAGGAAAGATTTTCCTTCAAATAAAAGTTTGTTCTTGTTTTACCACAAACCCCTAGGTATCAAGGTGGCACTAATCTGATGAGATACAATTTATTCTTTTAATTTCTGCTTAATCATAGGACTTAATGTTGATCCAATTCGTTTGAATGACACAAAGAAATTTGAAAAATGCGGCAAGGTTTTGTAGCAGGTGTCTTGGGAGGGATCACAATGGTAACTCTATGGCAATAGTTCACTATTTTTATAGAAGATTATTTGCTCAGAGTATGTGGTTATCACTACAAGAAAACAATCGTTTTCCAACGGTCTGTTACGACGGTTTATAAATCGTCGCAAATATATAACGATTTTACAACAATTTTACGGGGAAAAAACAAAACGTCGTAAAACCGTCGTAAAAAAAATCATCGTAACTTTGACGTATAATTTACGACGCTTTACGACGATTATACATCGATGAAGAGAGATTTGATATTTATTGCAAAATCGTCGTAAATTGGATGTAACATTACGACGAATATACGACGATCAAAATCCGATGTACAGTTACGACGATTTTACGAAGACAAAGAAGGTAGGTGAAGAACATTTAAAACATGTTTACCTAACTAATGTCGATGAAATATTTTATCGCACAATCGACGTAAAATCTTCGTAATATGAAGGTTGGATGTAAAAGCGATGTAAAAAATCGTCGTAAAAGCGTCGTAAAGTCCAAAATTTTGTTATAAATACATCTTCATTCCTTCTTTCATTCACAACACATCATCATTCAAACATAAGAGCATCAGCATCTTGGAGACCCATTTTAGGTCTCTTAAACCTTAGTATAGTGTTGTAAAACCTGATATATTGGGTTGTCCATTGCTGGAAACCCGAATTAGTAGTAATTTCTTTGAAAAAAGAGTAATAATATTAAAAGGTTTACTCCATTCATGCGGCTACACGTGACACAAGAGACCGTCTCTTTTATTGTCTAAACAATAGAAAGAGATAGTATTTTTGAGTTATTTTCAAGATGTCTATATACGAGCTAAGAAGCTGGATGTATATGCGTAAAGATTCAGATAGGGCTTTGACAGAAGAATTCAAGAACGGATTAGAAATATTTATGTATCAGGCCAGAAATATAGAGAGAACGAAAGATAGCGGGAAGATGTTTTGTCCTTGTTTGAAATGCAAAAATACAAGGTATACACTAACCAAACCGTGTTGACGCATTTATTAAATAGAGGGTTTATGCCGCAATATTTTGTTTGGTATCTACATGGAGAAGGATATGACAGTAATACTCATGGGAATACTGTTAGTAGTAGTAGTAATTATCAAGGTCATGTTGATTTTGATGAATCGAATTATGGTCATCAGCCTAATCAGTATCAATCTGATCAAGGTCTAGATCATGATAGGATGCATGAGATGGTGACTGATGCATTTCATGAAACGCATACTGGTAATGCTGTTGAGGAACCTAATGTAGATGTCAAATGATTTTATGATTTGTTAGACAATGCTAATCAGCCAATCTACGAAGGATGTAGAGAAGGTCTGTCTAAATTATCGTTGGCAGCTAAGATGATATCAATTAAAACAGATCATAACCTGGCTGAGGTTTGCATGGATGATTGGGCTGATCTTCTGAAAGAGTATCTACCAGAGGATAACTTGGCAGCGGCAACATACTATGAAATACAGAAGTTAATTTTTAGTCTTGGTCTACCTTCTGAGATGATAGATGTATGTGTTGACAGTTGTATGATTTTTTGGAAAGATGATGATCAGCTGGAGGAATGTCGATTTTGCCAAAAACCAAAATACAGGCCGCAAACTGGTGGGCGTAAAAGGATACCGTACCAACGTATGTGGTATCTCCCTATAATTGATAGGTTGAAACGGCTTTATCAATCTAAAAGGACAGCTGCATCAATGAGATGACATGCAGAACATACACAAGTAGATGGAGAAGTTGTTCATCCATCAGATGCAAAGGCATGGAAACACTTCAATACGGTACCCAGATTTTGCTAAGTTCAAACGGAATGTCTATCTTGGTCTGTGCACTGATGGTTATAGTTCATTTGGTATGTCTGGTAGACAATATTCATTATGGCCAGTAATCCTAACCCCTTATAACCTTCCTCCAGATATGTGCATGCAAAGGGAATTTCTTTTCCTTAATATTTTGGTTCCAGGTCCCAATCATCCGAAACGAGCTCTCGATGTATTTCTGCAGCCACTCATACATGAGTTGAATCAGTTATGGTATACCGGCGTTCGCACTTATGACTGTTCAACAGGGAAAATTTTTACTATATGGGCTGTGCTTATGTGGACAATAAGCGATTTCCCCGCTTATGGTATGCTATGAGGATGGACTACACATGGGAGGTTATCTTGTCCTTATTGTCTTCATCGAACTGATGTGTTTCAGCTAAAATGGAAGAAAAACCTGTTGGCTTGATTGTCACCTGAGGTTTTTACCGGATAACCATCCATATCGGAGGAACAAGAGGTTATTTAGGAAGAACAAAAGTGTACATGTCCCTCCATCTGAAAATTTAACAGGAGCTGATATACATGCGCAAATCGAGCATTGGGGGCAGAGAGTTTGAGAAATGTGGCAAGGCTTTGCAGCAGGTGTCTTGGGAGGGATCACAATGGTAACTCTATGGCCATAGTTCACTGTTTTCATAGAAGATTATTTGCTCAGAGTATATGGTTATGTAGTAGACAACTATTTTTATAAAAAAGTTTCATCCCCTTCAGACAAACATTCTCTCACTCTGAAAGTGTGAGACATTATGGACGATATTTCCTATAGTTGCAAAAAGTTGAAAGTAAATAGACATATACTAACTAGTCCTCTATCACTTCAGTATAGACGTCATTTTCAACTCTAATTCTTTCGTTTGTTGTGTTCATAGATTTCTAGTAGACGACTACTAGTAGGTGACCAATTGTTTGTTATCTAGCACATGCTCACATTGGGGTCTCCATATTTGTAGGATCGATCAATTGTTTTCCTAGGTGTATTTAAAGGCCTCATGGTTAAGATAATGAATCAGACTTGAAATTTGCAAAAAGAAAACTCTTATTGTGTTTTTAATGTTCACAATCTCTTAGTTCTGAGGAGGGACCTATCATAATCAGATCTATTTTGTTGAATTTGAAGTCATAGAGCTTGTAACCTGGTTTACATCGGAAAATCATAGGCTTTTCCAACCACCCCAAAATGCCAGAAAATATTTTCCTTTAAATCCAAAGTTTGTTTGTGTTTCCACAGAGTCCATAAAATCCAAGGGGCACCAATGGGACTCTTCCCATCCCAAATTTTTTGGACCGATAAATTTGTATGGTGTTTATGCCCTCATGGGTTCATGAAAGTGAGGAGAGCAAAAAAAGAAAAAACAGAAAAAAAACTAATCTATATAAAGGGTGATTTGCATGAATAATAGGTTTTGGTAAGCAAATTAGCTAATTATCATAAGAAAGCGTCAATTCATTATATAGCAGTAGTCAACTGCAAAAAGTAGGTGGAAAAGTCTGAATACCCTTTAATCTATGATTTTGGATAAAAAAATTTCTGACATGATTTGGGATAACAAAAACTTAGAAAGATCGAGACTTTATCTGCTTTTTTGAACAATAGCAACAAAAACTTTAACCAACATTAATATTTATTGTCGTTTTATAATATGTGTGTAAGACTAAATTAATTATTATTTTCTCTCTCCACCAATTTTCTCTTCCTCTCCGTTATTCTTCTCATCCTCTTCTTTTCTGTTTCTTTTTCTAAACACAATATTCAGAAGGAGTGAATTTTAAGTAATGCAGGGC